TAGATTAAAATGTATTAAGCTCTTAATTTTAGTCAAAAATTTCTCAGAACCTGATTTTCCTAGAAATACTCCCATATGATACTTTTTCACTATATCTTCATCATCTATTAGTCGTAATATCTTTTGATGTTTACCTTGGTGGTTTATTGGAAGATGTTTATATTGGAGCCAATAATTTGCCTAATATCAAATAGTTCTTACTCTATATGGTGCACTTTTGATAAAAATTAACTTCGCAGCTTCTATACTAGCCTTCACCATTCCTTTTCCATTATCATCTAATCTTCTCAAATATTTAAATACTGCTCGTTTTTTGTTATATTCAGCCACTGTTAATGACTTTTGCTTCTCTTTAAGTTCAAATTTTAAACTTTCAAGTTTTTTTTTAGATCATTTTATTCTTCATTTTTCATATCATCTATATCATCCAAAACTTCATCGAAATCATCTGGAATTACTTGACATTTATATAAAAATGATGTAATTTAGCAGTTCCTTTTGCAGCTTTTGTAAAACAGCCACTAGGTTTGTATTTATTAAAATATATTGATTTTTTAGTTTTTCTAGTAAGGTAAGGTCCATGTTTTTTTTGTTCAAATTCTGCATTATCTGACTAAACTAACTTATATTTATCTTCTTTTTCACTTAACAAATAAATCTATTTCATCATTCTACCTGCTGTCATCCTCATCTCCCCAATCATCAATAATTTGTGGCTTTTTTGCAAACCTTTCACTATTATCTCGTTCTTGTTCTTTAACCTTAATTTTCTGTTTGATGGATGAGTCATTATTATCAATCGATTGATCAAGATGCAAAATATAATGGGCATATTATTTATTAACATTGATTTGATTTAAATACAGAAAAATATGAAAAAATATGGAAAAATAGGTAAAATTGGAAAATCAGAAAAATTTTGTTTTAATGTTTTTATATTTTTAATTTATTATATAATGTAATAAGTTCCTCTTTAATATTATTAACACAAGTAAAAATTAAAAACCAAAAATTAATATGGCATTTTTATCTAAAGTTTTATAGAATCTTACTTATATATTAAAAAAATTTGTTTATTAAAACTCGCAATTTCTTGATTTTTACATTTTACACATGAAATTTGTAAAAATAATACGCCTAAGCTAGTCTGAAATTTATCTTTTTACTATATGGGTTATATGATTTATTCCAAAACTTTTAAACAAAATAAAAAATTAAATTTTTAATAAATCTTAAAAAGTAAACTGATAAAATGATCAGCGTATGTTATTTTATTAATTTATCGGTTTAAATTTATGTTTTATTACTTTTATTTCTAACTTATAAAATTTTAAAGTCATATAATATTTTTGTGATTTATAGGTGACAACCACCATACCTTCAAAAAATAAATGAACCTAGAGTTAAAATATTAGCATTACTGTAAAAGTAAATAATAAACTAATGCAATTTTTTGAATAAGACCTGATTGTGATTCTTTTTCTCTATACTTGATGTAGAAAAAATTTGCAAAGAAAGACCTTTTTATTTTAATTGTCACATGAACTAAGGTACATATTTTGCAAACACGTGCATATAAGGTGTCACATTCTCCTTTTGATATAAACCTGAAATTTAAGAAGAACTATTCATACACCCTTGAGTTAGATGGCAAAACATACGGACTCAATTTTGTGCATCAATTTTGAATTGATCAATCTCTTGATCTGAAAGATCTGCTTTGTGTAAAATTATATACAAACGATAAAATTCTCACCATAATCTTTCTATATCTTCTTTATAAACACCTAAAACAAATTGTAATACTAGAAATTTCTCTAGCATTTTCTTTTTATTTGGATCCATTAAAGAAATCCAATTCCATTGTTTTCCAGATTGACAAAATTCAAAATGAATTTTAATATTTTTAAATACCAATTCGATTGCTGGTTTAATTTGTTTTTGAAATTCTTTTTTTTAATTAAATCAGCAAATAAACATTTCATTAAGATATCTAATATACGTAAAAACAGATGCAATTCATCTAGTATGTAATTTTCCTGATTAATTGCTAAATATAAAGAGGGTTTTTTTTGTCTAATTATTAAAAATCAATTAGATATTTTATGATAATAAATATATTAAGTACAGATAGAATAAAATAAACTAATTAAACTTACATTTTGTATTTTCTGTATTATTTCATATTTTATCCATATCACACTGTGATAATGCATTACAATCACAATATAAGCAAAAATATTTGGAATTAGATGCATCTAATCCTATAATAATATACATGAATTTCCAATCCTCACAAAAGAACAATTCAATTGACCAGTTAATACCATCTTAATCAATAATTCTGTTATTCTTTAAATCAGATAACTGGCACTGAAACAGTTGCCCAATTTTTGCTAAATTTTCATATTTTTCATATCTGACGTAAAGATAAAAACTACAATTATAGATAAAATTAATTAGTAAAATAAATTAATAAATAATTAATTAACAAAAACTAAACTTACCAATATTGGTGATCAGGTTTCAAAACTTCTTTTTTTTTATTTAGTAAACAGAATGTCATCATCACATATTTTTGTTTTCTACTAACATTACACCTATCACCTCCAATTTTAAGATTAATTATATCACCTTGGTTAAGGATTGGTAGAAATGCATTTTTCCAAATTGAAATTAATACTTTAAGTAAAGTTTAGATTGACTTATATGTACCATTTTCAACTTCAGTTTCTTCAACTAAAACTCCTTCTTTAAGTTGTTCAGACGTATCAAAATCATCAATATTATTATCAATATTAAATATTCCTATTCTGATTTTATCATTCATAATATTTGAAATTTTGATTCTCTATTTTTCAATACGATATTTATAAGTAAGATGAGATTCAACTGCAGATAACTGACAATAACCATCTCTTACTAATAAAGATTTATCACATACTCACACAATAGCATTCAATTTCTTATTATCAAAATCCTGTTTATAAGACAAGTTAATAGTTTTACCATTAAAATCCAATTTAATATTACGTATATGAACTATTGGTTGATCAGTTTCTGTATTCATATGTTATTTGACAATTAATGATGAAAGTTCTTGTCCAGAATCTTTACCAAAGGCTGTAAACTGTTTGTTTTATCCTGATTTAGTTTGTATTACAGAAAGAGGACGCCTTTTAGAAACTGTAGGTATAGCTAAAGCTTCTAATCTACACTGATGCAATTTTCCTATGTCTAATCCAAAAACACGAGGACCTGATGATTGTGGTTCACTGTAATTGATTTCCTAAATAATAGATCTAATTATTACTAATTTATTGAATTATTCTTAAATTAATATAGTATACATACTTTTAAAAATGAATTAATGACACCAGTTATAGATCTTTCACTATAAACGTTTTGGTCAATATTATTTTCTTTTCAAAAAATAATATATTTTACTTTTTGATATGATGTGTATTTAATTTCACTGTGAAGTTTTCTTTTTCCAAATTCAGTTTCAACAATATAGTCATTGGGTATCCAATACTGTCTCCCATCTTTAGAATTATTTTGTGTCATTATAACATTAGTAGGATAATGTCCTAAAGATATTATATTATACCGAGAGATGAATGTTGTGCTACCTGATTTATATGTCACTACAATATGAGAAAAGTCTGGATAATCTTGATTAAAAGTTCTTATTGAATAGCTATCTAAAAATATTCTACAAAAACAATTAATAGTATAATTTAAAAGTACAGCAACTTCAAAATAAAAAAAGCACTGTAGTTGTGATTTTCATTTATTTCATTTGGCATAATTGCTAGAGACTAAGTTGAAAAAAATTTTTTCCGTAGGAATAACAAATTTTGATTATATTTTTGAAAAAATGTTTTTTAAAAAAAGCCTTATTTAACTATAAAATAATATGAACGTATTGATAATTTACTAACGACTTGTTACTGATTCAATTCAAAAACCAATTTAAAACCAATTTAGAGCAGATTTTTAGAGGCATAAAAAACATAAAAGATCTCAAAGTCAAGATTTTCATTATTTGTCATAAGTTCAGTCACGTTATATGAATATTTTATTATATTACATATTTGCAATTATTACTAAAATTTGACTCAGATGTATTAATTAAAATGTGATAAAATTGAATAGAGTCAAATCAGCCTATATGAGAATCATTTCAAACGAACGATAAAAGAATCATTTGATTAGAATGATAAAATTATCATTTCAAAAGAACAATAAAAGAATCATTTGATTTAAATGATTAAATTATCGTTCCAAATGAATGATAAAAGAATCGTTCAATTAGAACAATTAAATTATCATTTTAAAAGAACGATAAAAGAATCATTCATTTAGAACGATTGAAGTTATCATTCTAAATAAATGATAAAAAATCGTTCAATTGAAATGATTAAATTATTTCTAATTAAATAATAAAAAAATCGTTCATTTAGAATGATTGAAGTTATCATTCTAAACGAACAATAAAAAAATCGTTCGATTAGAATGATCAAATTATCGTTTCAAACGAACAATAAAAGGATTGTTTCAAATGATCACAAATTTTGGATTAATCTGATATTTTCAGTTCAGTTCAGATTTTTACCAGTTTACGATTCGGTTTAGTTTCAGATTGGCATTTTTAAGATTTATAATCTGAACTGAACTGAACTGAAATTTTCAGTTCAGTTTCAGATTGGC